GCAGACCACTTCATGGGCTGGGGGCCAGCCACCGCCTCCGCATCAGTGGCGCCGGAGCTGGCGGCCCATGTGGCTACCAAGTTCAGGGACGAGGCCGCCATCCTCAAGGAGTCGCGGAAGGCTGCTGAGGAGCGGCGTGGACGTGGAGGCGGAGGCAAAGGAGGCAAGGGCGGTGGAGGCAGAGGAGGCAAAGCAGGGCTCGCCCCGGCCGACGGGGAGGGGGGCGGATGACCATGCTGCCTTCTGGCGCGCGGGCCTGGTCCACCCGCGGTGCTGTGCCAGAGGACCGAGCATCGGCAGATTTTGATCGGTATGTTGAGGCGAGTCGTCAACGTGATTTGTTTCCTCTGCCAGCTGTCGAGGTTGATGAGCGCCCTGATCCCGGGCTTTCTGCTACCGTCTTCAAGCGTATGTCGAGGAGGCGTTCGAGGCAGCTGCTCGCCAACGGGGTCGTTGAGACGCTCAATGTTTTAGCTTCTCCGGCCGCCATCTCTTCCTTCAGGCCTACGGCTGCTCATCGTGCTGCCCATGGTCAAGTTTTGTCTACGTTGGCGGCAAGGCCTACTTGCACATCCTTGTACAAAGACCGCGAAGCCCTACAGGCGCTTTGTGGATCGGAGTTCTCCTATGCTGGGGGGGGCTCCAGTTGCAGCGTGGAGCCGTATGATCGAGGCCGGGTCTCGATGCCAGCTGCGGGGGCCTCGCCTCCGTGGCTTACGGACGTCATCGACGACTCCGGCAGAGGCGTAGTCGACGGCTTCACCACCGCGATGCTCCGCTCGCCCGTCGAGATGGGAGCCATCATGGACCAGCAGGCACATATTAAGCCCTACATGGACGTGAGGCTCAATAGGGACAGGTTGCTATACTACCAGTTCGTCCGCGACCTATTCGAGTCCAATCTCGTGGATTTCGGGACGGACGCTTTCGAGACCGTTTACCCGTTCTTCGTACGCAAGAAGTCGGGCAAGCAGCGGCTCGTGTGGGACTGCCGGGTGGCCAACATCCGCTGGCGCAGTCCGCCCAAGATCCGCATGGCGAGTGGCTCGGCGTTCGCAGGTTTGCAGATCCCGACGGAGCTGCAGGAGCACGGCATGTGGGGTGCCGGCTCCGATATCGCGGACTACTTCTTTTGGCTCGCCATGCCGCCTGACCTGCGGCCCTTCTTTGCGCTGCCGCCTGTGCCAGGCGCTCTGTTGCTCGAGTGGGGTGTCCCCGCTGCTTTGGGCGGGGCGCTCCATGGCCTTTTGGAGGTCAGACCTCGCCTTCGCTCCGTGCCGATGGGCTGGACTTGGGCGATGTGGCTGGCGCAGCGTGTCCACATACATCAGATCTGTCTAGCGTTGCCCTGGGCGCCCTCGAGACTCATGGAGGAGGGGGCCCCTGTTCCTGAATGGCGCTCGGATCTCCCGGTTCTGAATGTGTATTGTGACAACCTAATGGTTCTGGCGACGTGCCCCAAACTGGCGAGGGAGACTCGGGATGCCGTCATTGTCCAGCTCGTCAAGTCAGGCTTTGTCGTTCACGAGGTCTTCGGTCCTGTTAGGCAGTTCACCGCTCTGGGTTACTATATCGACGGGGACGCTATGAAGGTCTGGGTCGATCCGATGCGCAGGGAGCGAATTGCCGCCGCTGCCCGAGCTCTGGCGCGACGGCCTCGGATTACAGGTTTGGCGCTGAGTCGGTTCATCGGTCATTGCATTGCCGCCTTTCTCATCTTCCGCCCGGGCCTCTCGGTATTTAGGCGCATGTATGACTTCGCTGCTAAGTTGGGGGCCGCTCCAGGACGTCTCTGGACTGAGGCCGCTCACGAGGCTCGTCAGATATCGTATCTCATCCAGGTCACCATGTCGGATCTCTGCCTGGAGTGGTCGGAGAGGGTCCTCGCTACCGATGCGTGCCTGTCGGGGTTTGCCGTTGCTGCTACGCGTTGGCCTCAGGAGGTCATCAAGGAGTACGGGTCTGTCCGAGAGAAATGGAGGTATCGGAGTCGTCTGCCGTCTGCGACTGCACCTCGCGATGCTGCCCTGCCTGCCTTCGGCGACCCCTTCAGTGACATCAACACCGTAAAGACCATCGCCGAGCCGAAAGCTATTTCGACGTACGAGCCGAACCCCGATTTCGCCGAGATCGACCCGCGATACCTCGGCAAGGAAGACTGGAAGTTGCAGTATGCCTCAAGGTTTCGTGGTCGTGATGGCCCTATCTCAGTACTAGAGAGTGTCGGCATGGCCTCTGGGGTTCGCCATACTACGAGGGGCCTCTATGGGTTTCGAAGGCGACACCTCTTACTTGGGGACAATCTGGGGACTGTGCTGGCCATGGAGAAGGGCAGGTCGTCGTCTTTCTCTCTCAACAAGTCATGCCGTAAGACCGCAGCCTTTTCAGTGGCTTCGGGGTCGCGCTACGTGTACCGCTGGATCCCCTCAGAGAGCAACCATGCCGACGAGGGCTCCCGCCTCTGGGAGCCGCGCCGGCGCTCCGCCTGTGCAGCGGACCCTCCGCCCGGCGCAGGGGCCACCATCTCGCTCGCGGAGTGGCTGGAGCTGGACGAAGAGGACGACGCTCGCCTCTGGGGACGCCACGAGAGAGGCCCGGGTAGCCTCCCGCGCTTCGCTGGCGGGCAGCGCCCGGGCCAAGGCCGTGGAGGGGCGGGGCACCTTCCTCGAGTCCAGTTCGGTGAGCACCAAGACGTACAAGGATTACGATCAGCGCCACTCGGATTTCCAGGAGTGGATCGCTCAGAACCGGCTGTCGATCAAGTTGGAGAGGCAGCCCGACCTCGTGCTCACGGACTACATCAACCACATGTGGTCGACGGGGCACGACGTCTCGGAGGGATCGAAGGTGCTGGCTGCGTACATGTACTTCTACCCCGACTACTCGAAGGCCGGGAGGAATGTGCTCCCGCGGGCCCGCAAGGCCCTCCGGGGCTGGAGGAGGCTCGAGCCGGGCAGGACCAGGCCGCCGATCCCGCTGCACCTGCTCGCGCTGCTGTGGCTCGAGATGATCCACATGGGGTCCCCTCTCATGGCTCTGGCGCTGGTCACGATGTGGGTCGCATACCTGCGGCCAGGGGAGGCCATGAGGTTGAAGGAGAAGGCCCTAGTCTCCCCGCCGCGCACTTCTGCTTCGGCCCTGTGGAGTCTGCACATGCACGAGGAGCTGGATCAGCACCCTTCCAAGGTCAACCTCTTCGAGGAGAGCCTGGTGCTGGACTCGGCCGACCTCCCATGGCTGGGAGACCTGCTGGCAGGACTCAGGAAGGGGCAACCAGACAGGCTGTTCTTCGAGTTCAAGTACCCGCTCCTCGGCCAGGCTATGTTGGGAGCGGCCAAGAAGGTCGGTCTGGAGAAGCTCAAGATCACCGCTTACCACATGAGGCACTCCGGCCCCAGCCACGACATCCTGTTCAAGAGAAGATCGTTGGCAAGCGTCAAGGCGCGGGGTCGGTGGCTCTCCGATCGCACGGTGAGGCGGTACGAAGCCCACGGGCGCCTCCTCCAACAACAGGCAAAGGTCTCGGACGACACGAACATGAAAGGTGCCCTGGCTTTAGACAAGTTGAAGGACGCATTCCACACCTCTTTGTTCCCACGGGCCGCCGCCTCGTCCAGGGGTGCCGGGCCGTCGAGGTCTTCTCAGGCTGTGGGAGGCTCTCGCAAGCTCTCGCCTGCGCCGGTGTCCCAGCAGAGGCCTGGGACATCGAGCAAGGCGAGGCGGCTGATTTTTTGAGGACTGAGTCTTTACGCAAGCTGGAAAAAGAGATTGTGGACCGTGTCATCTGTTTCGTCTGGTTTGGTCTTCCTTGTCAGACATGGTCCAGAGCCAGGCGCTGGGACGGGCGAGGGCCAGGTCCGCTTAGAGATGATGATACCCACCTGTACGGGCTGCCTGATCTCTCGCCCGGTGATGCAGGCAAAGTGCGTTTGCATAATCTACTTTTGAGGCAGATGGCTAGAATTTTTAAGCTGGCAGCGGAGTGTGGCTGCCCTTGTGCCCTTGAGAATCCAGCCACGAGCCGGGTCTGGCTCACCAGAGAAGTCAGGTCGTTGTCGCTCCTGCCAACGGCCAACATGCAGGTAACAGACTTTTGCCAATTTGGAATGCCTTGGAAGAAGGCCACCAAAATCCTTTTTGTGAACTGGCCACCGCTTGCTTTGCCGCGGTGCCGACCCTCCAAGTCCGTCTGCTCGTGCTCTGGCCTCTCGCACACGATACTGGAGGGAAAAGACGCCAAAGGAGTTTGGCGCACGGCCATGGCGCAGCCGTATCCTCACGAGCTCTGCTCACTGCTGGCCAATATCGTCGCCCCAGCTCTATAGTTGCGCTGTCGGAAGGCACGGCTACGCTTGCATCTGGGGTTTTGGAGTTTGAAGTCTCAGTGGCTTGTGCTCGCCTGCATCTTTGCAAGAGTCCAATTATCTCGCACAAGCCTGCAAATGCACCTCTCAGTTGATGTGGCAATGTCAAAATGCATCGGTCTCATCTCCAGAGCTTGCTCCCAGTTGAGTCCGCATTCTATATTGCTCTGTAGTGTAGCCTTTTTGGTTCTAGTCTCCCTCCCTTCCCTCCCGAGTTTGAAGTCTCAGTGGCTTGTGCTCGCCTGCATCTTTGCAAGAGTCCAATTATCTCGCACAAGCCTGCAAATGCACCTCTCAGTTGATGTGGCAATGTCAAAATGCATCGGTCTCATTATTATTATTATTATTATTAGTAGTAGTAGTAGTAGTAGAAGTAGTAGTAGCAGTAGTAGTAGTGGTAGTAGTAGTAGCAGTAGTAGTAGTAGTAGTAGCAGTAGTAGTCGCAGTAGTAGCAGTAGTAGCAGCAGTAGTAGCAGTAGTAGTAGTAGTAGTAGTAGTAGTAGTAGTAGTAGTAGTACTAGTAGTAGTAGTAGTAGTAGTAGTAGTAGTAGTAGTGGTAGTCATAGTAGTAGTAGTAGTAGCAGTAGTAGTAGTAGTAGTAGTAGTAGTAGTAGAAGTAGTAGTAGAAGTAGTAGTAGTCGTAGTAGTAGTAGTAGTAGTAGTAGTAGTAGTAGTAGTAGTCGTATTAGTCGTAGTAGTAGTAGTAGTAGTAGTAGTAGCAGTAGCAGTAGCAGTAGTAGTAGTAGTAGTAGTAGTAGTAGTAGTAGTAGTAGTAGTAGTAGTAGTAGTACTAGTTGTAGTAGTCGTAGTCGTAGTCGTAGTAGTAGTAGTAGTAGTAGTAGTAGTAGTAGTAGTAGCAGTAGCGTGCCTCCTGAGACAGCGCCTGAGCGTGAGCCGTCTCATACTCTCGCCGATCTTTCTCTTCTTGGCCGCGAGGTGCTGCATCTGCATCTCCTTCGCCTGCTTACGGAGCTCGACGAAGGGCTGGCACTGCTGGCACGCGTTTGGGCTTGTTGCTGTCGTAGTAGTCGTCTAGAACCTGCTGGTGCTCCGACCTGTACGCCCCCCCCCAAACGTGGACCACCCACCTAACGTCACCCAGACTTCGGTGACACCGAGCCTGGCCCGCGCGGAATGTTCGAGACACTTGCATTCTGGCGACACGTTTGTCTCGGAATGATGTTTCTCTGATTGAAAACGTTCCTTCGTTGAGCATGTCGTTCTCGCCTGTGCGTGGGCCGCATGTCTGGTTGTCAATGTTGCTGTCGCCCAGGCGCCGGCGACATCCTTCATTGAGCGTGTCGTTCTCGCCTTGGCGCTGGCCACATCTCTGATGAAAAATGTTGCCGTGGCCTTGGCGCCGGCGATATCCTTCATTGAGCATGTCGTTCTCGCTTTGGCGCCAGCCGCATCTCTGATTGAAAATGGTGCGTTGCCCAGGTGCCGGCTGCGGTCTTCATTGAGCATGTCGTTCTCGCTATGGCGCCAGCCACATCCACGATTACGACAGGTGCTCTCGCCTCAGCGCCGGCCACAGACATGATTGCAAGTATTGCTCTCACCTCAGCGCTGGCCACGTCCATAATTGCGAGTGTTTCTCTCGCCTCAGCGTCGGCCAAATCCATGATTGCTGAAGGTGCTCTCGCCTCAGCGGCGGTCACATCTACGATTGCGAATATTGATCGCGCCTCAGCGCCGGCCGCATCCACTATGGCGAAAGTTGCTCTTGCCTCAGCGCCAGCCAGACTTTTAATTGGAGCCGAAGAGGGATCAGTGATACAGTCGGAACTTTTGCATTGCATGTTGCTGGGCCGCTCCACTCTGGCGTATCATTTGCCACAGCGCGCGCGTGGCACACTGGTGTCGCCGAGCCGTTGGTCATGTTAGCTTCAATTGATCGGGTTAGCTGTGGCGCAGTGTCGACAGGGGCTGGGTCAGGTTAGGTTACGGATTTGCCTGGTAAGGGGGGGTGCTTGTGGACCGCCATCTGTTGCGCTGCGTGGCCTTGGGCCCCCTCGGCTTGGTCAAGACGCTGCTGGGCCTCGAGCACGGCCGCACATCGGGGTCTCGCGCTCCAGCTTTTTGGCGGCTGCCTGCTCGACCGTCACCGTGAACGACTTGAACACCTCCAAGTCGATGCCCATTTTGTGTTTGCCCTTCCCCGGCTCGAACTTGCCACGGAGCGCTGCCACCTCCTGCTCAGGGGAAGCGGCTGGTGGCTTTCTCCTCCACCACGGGCACGGGGGCGCAGCACGAGAGGCGCCTCCTCCAGTCTTGCTGACGTCAGTGTCCCAGGCCGGCGTTGAGATGATGGCAGAGGTAGAGGAGGAGGATGAGGAGCAGGAGGAGGATGATGATGATGACGAGGAGGAGGAGGAGGAGGAGGAGGAGGAGGAGGATGAGGAGGAGGAGGAGGAGGAGGAGGATAAGGAGGAGGAGGAGGAGGAGGAGGAACGCGCTTACCTCGACCACACGCTGGCGGCCACAGCCACGCTTACCACGACCACCCCAACGACCATGACCCACACGACCTCCTCCAACGCGACGACCAGCTGCCCGACCTCTACGACCCCCAGCTGGATCACCACGTCCGCTTCCTCCCTCCGCCCCCCGTTTCCCTTCTCTCCCCCTCCCCTTCCCCTGCCGGGCCGCGCCTGCTCGCGTTTGTACTTCCATTCTGGCGTCGGTACCGTTTCAGTGCATTAAGAATCAAGAATCACAGCTGGACCAAGAGTGCCACGGGGCCAGTTCTCGAAGAGGCTGTGTCCGCGCGGCGGCCAGCGAGGAACCCGGATCCATAACCTGGACAACCGGGAGCCTCCCTTGGTGACGGGGGTGGGGAACCATTCGAGTGCCCCCGAACTTTTTTGGAGGCGGAGGAGGAGGAGGAGGAGGAGGAGGAGGAGGAGGAGGAGGAGGAGGAGGAGGAGGAGGAGGAGGAGGAGGAGGAGGAGGAGGAGGAGGATGGAGGAGGTTGGGGGCGAAGAGTGGGACGAGGCGGAGGGGGAGGAGGACAAGGAGGCGCAGGAGGTCGACCCTCCGCCTTCTCCCCTTGGCCTCCCGCGAGGCCTTCGCCGGGCCCGCGGAGGCCGAGGCCGCCGCGGCGGCCGCGGCCTGCGCGGCAAAGGGCTTGAAGGAGTGGCCGCCCGCTGCGGGCCGCGCGCCCTGGCGCCTCGTCCTCCTGCTCCTCATCCTCCTCCCAACAGCTGGGGCGCAACAGGTCGGACTTCGTGTCCCTGCCTGTTCGAGTTGTTAAGGTGTCCCAAATTAATGGCCAGTCCCTACAGTGCCGTTTTTGATACATGCTCCGCGTGCGGATCATGTACTAAAAATGCAGGCATCTAGTATAAAAAACAGCGAGGAGATCATGCATACATTTGTTCATATATTAATCATGTATTAGAAATCCAATATTTTTAAACATCCTATGTATTAAAATCTGCCCTGTAGTCAACGGGCGGGGTATGCCAAGGGACCTGGCAGCGCCGCCTCCAGGAGGGACGGGAGGGGCCGCCGCGGCGGCGCCGCCAAGGCAAGAGAACTGCCGCCGCCTCCTCTCTCGCTTCTTCCCTCAATTCGTCCCTTATGCATAAGTTCTTCCTGCTCGCATCCCCAGACGTGCCGGTAGGGCGGGTGGGGCGTTGCGTTTAAGGCTTCTTCACCATGTGTGACCATGAGCCTTCACATTCGCAACATGTGCAAGGATGGAGGTGGTGGCTTTCAGAAGTGGGTTTTCGCTTTAGCGCTGCGCGCATTCGCTTTGAAGGCTTTTAGCAGCTTCGGGGACGGAGCACATGCCGTTTGCGAAACAGAGATCTCGCCTTAGTGCTGTGCGCATTCGCTTTACAAGGCTGCAACAGATGCAAGGGTGGAGAGCAGGTGGTTTCAAAAGGGGGGTCTTTCGGCCTAGCGCCACGCACATGTTCGACGCATGTCACAGTTACAGGATGGAGGGTGGCTCATTTTCGGAGTGTGTCTCTCGCCTAAGTGCCGCGCGCTTTCGTCTCAAATGCTGGGGCCATTTTTGGCTACGGAAGATGCTTCCTTTTGGCATTAGAACCAGAACCAATAATCTTTGTTCCATTCAGTAGCTGCGCGGATGTACGGTGGTACCTTTTCAACATGGGGCTCTCATCTGAGACTTCGCCGAGCCCATGACCAGACATGTAAACTTACGCAGCATTTGCCTGGATTCGGGGCGGTCCTCTTCAAAAGGGGGATCTCGCTGGAGATCTCGTTGAGCTGTATGATCATACCTTCTCGCATTCCAGTGCAGTTCAACGAGATCTTAGCGAGATCCCCCTTTTGAAGAGGTGCAAGGACGCAGTGCAGTTCATTCTGCAAAAGAGGGGCTCTCGCCTGAATGGGAGGCCCGCAGGGTGCTGGTCTTTTTAGGTGGCGCTTCTTATAGTGATAGGAGAGGGTTGTTGGTACTCATATTAGGACGGGACTTGGGACGGGAAGGTCTACTGCAGTATCGCTCGTGCATCTCGGATTTTCTCTGGTCCTCCTCTTCCTTCTCCTCCTCCGCCGCCTCCTCCTCTTTCCCCTCTTCCTCCTCCTCCTCCTCCTCCTCCTCCTCGCTTTCGCTTTCCTCTTATTCCTCCCCCTATCTCCTCCTACTCCTCCTCGAGGGGTGCCATGCCACTGGCCCCATTTGGGTTTATCAAATGAACCTGTGTGCGAAAGGGTGTTCCCGCTTCCCCTTAGGTTGCCCCTTCCCCTCCCCTCCCCGTTTTTCCCTATCTTGCCCTTCTGTCGATGGGCAGTGGGCTTCTTCTTCTTCTTCTTCTTCCTCTTCTTGATCGGGTATCGTGTCGCTGCTGCTGTTTTCAAAGTACCTCGAGACGCAGAGTACGTCGGCGCTGGCTTTGGCCAGGTTGGATCCGGAAGAGCTGGGCCCCCCCGTCGATTAACTTGATGGAGTAGGCTGGGGAAACTCAGTGTCCTAATTCTGTGATCGAATCCAGCGTGCTGATGCAATAAGCGGGCGCGCCCATTGTTGCACCAATTTGTTCCCCGAGCAGCCTGTGTCTCAGCCCCCCTGCTCTTCCTTTTCCCCGTCCTCCTCCTCCTCCTCCTCCGGCGGGCCGCGAGGCTGGCCGGCGGGGCGCCTTGCGTGAGCGAGCCGGCGCGGTCCGTCAGCGGTCAGTACCGACCCCTTGGGAGCGGCCGCTGTCTGGTGCCCTGCCACCTAGTAGCGTCGGCTGTCCCCATGGAGGGAGGGCTTGCGCCAGCTGGGGCTTCCTCCTCCTCCTCCTCCTGCCCCCCCCCCGCTCCTCCTCGTTCTCCTCATCCTCGTCCTCCTCCTGCTTTCTCATCCTCCTCGTGCTCCTCCTGCCTTCTCCTCCTCCTGGTTCTTCTTCTCCTCCTCCTCGTCCACCTCCTGCCTTTTCCTCCTCCTCCTCTCCCTCCTCCTCCTCCTCCTCCTCCTCCTCCTCCTTCTCCACCTTCTTCCTCACCTGCTCATCCTGCTCCTGCCCCCCGTTCGCCTCAAGGGCGCCCCTGCGCTCCCCCCTTCCCCAGCGCGCGGCGCCACCTCCCCCGTCAGCCTGTCCAGGCCGCCCGAGTGGCATCCGAGTCTGTGGGTTCGGCGATTCACACCGCAGCGCCGATGCATCGGCACTGTGGCGCGGCGCCGACCAGAGCCCGATTTTCTCGCTCCCGGCGTCGCTGCTGCGTCTCCGACGCGCCGGGTCGGCTCCGTCCTCTGGCCCCGCCGTGCTCAGAGGCCACGCGGGTGGCCTCCAGCCTGGCGCCCTCGTGCTCCCCTCGCGCCCGCAGTTTCGGGGGTCGTGGGGTCGAGGGGCGAGCCGGGGGGGTGGGAGGATTGAGAGGAGGAGGAGGACGAGGAGGAGGAGGAGGAGGAGGAGGAGGAGGAGGAGCAGGAGGAGGAGGAGGAGGAGGAGGAGGAGGAGGAGGAGGAGGACGAGGAGGAGGAGGATGGAGGGAACGAGGAGAAGATCGCGCCGTGACTTCTCTTCGGCTTCGGCGTCCGGGGACTCGTGTCGGCGCTCACGGCCGTCGGAGTGGGGGGCTCCCTGGTGTGATGTCGCCCCTCCGAGTGCTCCCGCCCGCCGGCCCATCTCCCCCTCCCCCTCCCTGCTCCGCTGGCCCCAGTCCTCCCCCTCCTCCTTCTCTTAAGCCTCTGCGCGGCCTAGATCCTCCTCCTCCTCCTCCTCTCCTCCTCCTCCTCCTCCTCCTCCTCCCCTTCTACTCCTCCTCCTCCTCCTTCTCCTCCTCCTCCTCCTCCTCCTCCTGCTCCTCTCCCTTTCTCCTCTCTTTCTCCTCCTCCTCCCCCTTTCTCCTTTCCTTATCCTCCTCCTGGCCTTTACCCCTTCTCGCCTCTCCTCCTCCTTCTGGCCCTTCATCTCCCTGTCGTCCTCCACGGCATGCTCCTCTGTCCCCTCCCCCACCCCGCAACTTCCGTAGTTGTTGGGCTCAGGCGACGTTGCTGCAGCCTTCGATAAGACCCCGTGTGGTCTGTGAATCCACCGTGTGGGACACACATCTGGTGTTTCGAACTGAGGAGATGGCTTTTTACATCCACCGTCTTGGTCTCGTGTGCGCCTTCATCATGCACGTCACAGGCTCGCGGGTCAGAGTGGAAGGCGACCGCACGGCCTCGGAGTATGAGGAGGATAGTATCTACCATTCGCAGCAGGTTGAGCAGGGCAGTGAGACTGACACCGTCCACACACCGCCTCAGATTACGACCTGCGACGGCAATCGTACTGACTGCTCGTTTTGGCTTGGATTGAAGTCAGGCTGCTCGGAGGACCGGATCTGCTGCAATTGCAGGAAGACGCGGGCTGCCTATTCATATACGACCAGGACATGCCACCCGTCGCCCGCGATTCCTTGCAGAACACACACGCACTACGTGGCGGCGTCTGATTCGGGTTGGGTTCCCAAGTGTGCGCTGGTGTCCGGCCCACCGCACAGATCTTTCCCGTCTTGCTCGGGCACGCACAAGAAGCAGTAGAGCAGCTCGCTGGCACGTGGATATCGAAGACGCCTCTGGCGAACCACCGCTAGCACTTGTCCTGGGGGAGGGCCATTGTGGCCGATATTTGATGTATAACTCGCCCGACGGTGGTCGTCATCTGGTTCTCCCAACCGTCGCGGGAACGACCAGGAGAGTACACGGGTCCAGCAGTTTACCCGTTCATATCCCAACAATTTTCCAACATTGCACTGACTGGACTCCCGGAGGGGCCCTATTGGATTGTCTTGGGGCTCTATTAAGGGGTTCTCATGGGCCTTGTCGGTGGCCGCCTCACTCTGAGGCCCTGTTGGGCCGTCCTGGGGCGCTTCCTCCTGGGGCCGTCTTGGGGTTCTTTTGGAGCCGTCTTGGGTCGCCTTTGGGCTGCTTGGATCCCGTCCAGAGGCCCCCTGAGGACGTCGTGGGCCCGTCTTGGAGTGACCTACGGCCAACTTGGGGCCCTCGTGGGGCTGCTTCGGGCCGTTCTGGGGCGATCTTGGGCTTCGCTTCGGCCGTAAACGTGAGTACATCAGCAGCATGGACACCCGCATTTTTTTTTGTTGTATAAACTCACCATGTGAGCATGATTTGTTTGATGTTCTGCCAACGGTGTTGGCGAGGGCTCCGCGCTGTGCGAGGGCCGTGACTTCAGAGGACCAAGGGGCTCGCGCCGAGGGGGGGAGGGGGCCCTGGCCGCGGGAGGCTCCCACCTGCCGCGGGGGGTGCCCGGCACCCTGCTCGGCAGCGCCTCGGCGGCAGGGACCGAAGGGAGGGGACGAGGAGGGGGAGGAGGAGGAGGAGGAGGAGGAGGGAGGAGGAGGAGGAGGAGGAGGAGGAGGAGGGAGGAGCAGGAGGAGGAGGAGGAGGAGGAGGAGGAGGAGGAGGAGGAAGGGGAGGAGGAGGAGGAGGAGGGGGAGGGGGAGGTGGATGTGGAGGAGGACGAAGCGCAAGCCTATGGACCACGGACGAGGGGCGTCGAGACCATGCAACAGATAAAGCACCATGCCTTCTTGCCGTCACTCCGAGACGGCTCTCGAGATGTTGCTCAAGAGTCCCAGGCTTGGACAGGCGTCGGGCATGGTGGGCAGCTAGAAATGCGTCACAACATGCAGCACGCAGCAGGCAGGCTGTAGGAGGTGCACGGAAGAGAA